TATATGTAAATTGCAAAAACGCATATTGGGAAGAGGCTGTCTGTGTGTGTATGTGCGTGTGTGTGTGTGTGTGTCTGTATGTTCACACTTTTTGTCACCCACTTTCAACTCAAGACCCGGAAAAGCTGGAAAGCTAAAACTTTGGGGGTATGTGCCCATACTATGTGCGACCCTCCCGCTTTAATTTCATCCTCCGCTGGCGCCTAGGTGACGCGTACGGACGCTTTAAAGAAATATACAGATTTTTTGACGGGAAAGCGATCTCGGGGACGACATGAGCTAAGGAGCTGAAACTCTGTAGGGAAATTCACTGTGCATGAACTAGCTGATGGTTTCAAATTCAGCCACCACGCATGCGTTGTACTCATGTAGGGGCTTATAAAAGTTTTAGGGGGAAAATTGCTAATTTTGGTAGAAGGAAAGCTAGAAAGCTGAAATTATGGAGGAATGTTCCCTATCCAGATACAAATCAAATATTTCAAACTCAGCCATATTCTATGCGTGGTACTCACGTAAAGGCGCATGAAAGTTTCTGTAGGGAAATTAATGACTCGGTAACCAGAAGAGCTGGAAGGCTGAAATTTTAAAGGGATGTTCACTACAATTTGTAAATTTCAAATTCAGCTTTCTGGGTGCGTGGAGTACCCAAGTAGGGGGCATTTGAAAGTTTTGGCGAAAAAATTACTAATTCAGCAACCAAAAAAGCTGGAAAGGTGAAGTTTTGGGGAATGTTCCCTGTCCAAGTACAACTTAAGTATTTCAACTTCAGCCTTGAGGTATGCATGGCTCTTACGAGCGGACACTTGGAAGTGTTGGCGGAAAAATTTCTCACTGATCAACCATATTGATATAAAGAATAATGAAGGGGCAATGGAACTTTTTTTATTTTCCTACATTCTAAAAACAGTGGTCTCGAATCGAAATTTTGACTACTTTTATGAGCTACTGACGTAGAAATCAAGGGAAATCGTGTTAAAAGTACAGTCGCCGACGTTTTTAGCGCGTCTTTCCTGCTGCGTCATTAATAACTGGATGCAAAAAAAAGAAAAAAAAAAACGAAATATCTTGTCGACTCCTGGCTTTCTATGAAATTTAGACATTTTTCAGCATTTTTCAGGTGAAAGGACTGACACGGTATGCAGTGGATAGTGGTAAATCGATGGATGTCGCGAAACTTTCGGAGTATACCGGCTCAGCGCAGAATGTGTTTAACTATGATCGTAATGCCGAATTTGCTAAAGCTATCCTCAATGCAGCTACTGCTCCCGACAGAGCTCAGTGTCCACAAGTATGCGTTTTGCAAAGTTTTTTGTTGCAGACGTGATGCAGTTTGGCTGTTTCTTTGCGCAAAACGAGCGCGATTTAGCAAATTTCCGAAGCTATTAATTCCGATTTTTCGCTGTTTCTGAGAAGTTCCCACTGGTAAGCGCAGGTACGCCAGAGGTGTTATTCCGAGCTATTGCTGCCTGGGATTGCATACACGTACCGTTTTTCGGGTGGTACTTTTCACTTGTTGATGGCGCCACTCATTTATGCAGAATTTATGGAAAAAAACTGTAGACTTCTTGTGAAGCCTTCTTATTTCGAATTGAAAAAATCGTAAATTTTGATTTCTGAATGCTGAATTAAAATTATCTGACAGCCGAAAGCCATGTCCAGCAAAGCTCTGGTTCATAGTGGATTTTAAGTTTTTTTGAAAAATTACTTTGATTTCTCTTATTCTTACATTTGTACTGCTCGGTCATTTTTTCTACACTGTCCCAAAAAAAAAGCTGAAAAAGTTAGAGATGATCTTCGAAATATACTTGGTAAAGTGGCGAAAGAACAAAGCGGTAACCAGCTGGAAGGCAGGCAGCAGAGAAGTATGGTTTGCAAGGCAACGAATGAGTCCCGATTCCCAAGACGCATATTAAGAACCTGAGCTCTCTTCACTACCTTTTTTTGAGGCATATAACAAGTTTGGAGATTTGAAAAAAAAACAATTTATAGACTTCGAGTGCCGGACGATTCGCTGAAGTGAACAGCGCTGCTTCACGTACACAGCTGCAACGGCGAAAGGATGTCGGAAATAAACTTGACTTTGATCTGAAAGAATTTGAAGGTCAAAAGGTCACGAATTTCTCTCTAATAAGGACAGAATTGCGGATCCACGGATTTCTTTATCAGTTCACTTTTTGTGCGTTTTTGCCTATATGCAAATTGCAAAAACGCATATTGGGACGACCTTGTTTGTGTGTGCGTATGTATGTGTGTGTATTTTTGCGTGTATGTTTGTGTGTGTGTCTGTGTGTGTTCGCCTGTCCGGGTATTTCAACTCGGCAATCAAGCAATTTCCAGCGCCGAGATTTTGCTAGTGGGTATCCCGGCCAAATACCACTCCAGAACCGCGGTATGTACCATCTCTCACGCACGCACGGGCCCCGCGTACGAGAGGGGAAAAGTTCTGGCGGGAAAATTGATAACTCGGGAAAGAGAAAAGATAGGAAGCTGAAATTTTGAGGTTATGTTCCCCGTCCAAATATAACTCGGAGATTTCAAATTCAGCCCCCAGGTGCGCGCGGTTCCCAGTCCCGTGAGATTTTCCGGCGGGAAAATGGCTAACTCGGGAACTAGCAAAGCTGGGCAGCTGAAATTTTCGGGGAATGTTTCCAGCCCATTTACGACTTTAGTTCATCAAATTCATCCCCCAGACTTGCGTGGTTCCCACGTACGGCT